GTTGACCAGTGCAATATCACTACTTTTCTTCTGGAAAAGTTGTGGATTTAAGAGGTCCTGTTGGCTGGTAGCTGTGAATTCATAGTATGGCACATACATTTCAAAACCTGTGTAGGCTAGCAGCCAAATTCCTTTGCCTAGTGTCATTGTCATTTTCTGAAGAAACTTTACTTTTTGCAAATGTAACTTTCAAAAAGCACCCTCTAGTTTGCTTCCCCGATGTTGCTTTTCCATAGCAGAAACTTTGATGAAGTAGTAGCAGACGCAGAACTGTATCGAATGCATCTAAAGCTACTTTTCCTGTAAAACAGAGTTTATATGCTTATTCAGCGTTTCATTGTTTATTTGTATTGCAGCTAGTATTGTGATCAATTATTTATTTTGATTGAATGTTTATCCTTTGCCATTACTTCTCCCTCTGTCATACAGGTGATACAGTTACGAAAAGCATGTAGCCATCCTTATCTCTTCCCGGGTATTGAGCCCGAACCATATGAAGAGGGTGAACACCTTGTTCAGGTATCGCTGATTTTAATTTGGTAAATGATAATGACCTAGGTGTGTAAACCGAGTCATGTAGTGTCGAAACTCTAACATCCGAACATTAACAGAGGAAAATAAGTCTCTTTTTGCTTTCTTTCTGAAAGGGAAAGCCTTTGATTCCTGAGTAGTACTTTTAGTATGCCTTCTGCTCACTCGTAATTTTTCCTGCCAACCAATCTCTGTTCATTCCTTATCTTTTCATAGGCTAGTGGTAAACTTATGATTTTGGACCAACTACTTCAAAAGCTGCATGGGTATGGACACCGTGTGCTTCTCTTTGCACAGATGACGCATACCCTTGACATTCTCCAGGTTTGTTTTTTTTCCTTTTGTATTTTTTTTTTCCTGTCTCATGCTAAATGATAAAATGCTTCAGCTTGTTTGCATATGTTACTCTGCATTTTAACAAATTAATATTCTCATACGCAATGCAGGATTTTCTAGAGTTAAGGAAATATTCCTATGAACGCCTTGATGGATCAATTCGGGCTGAGGAGCGCTTTGCTGCCATAAGAAGTTTCAGCACACAATCAACCAAAAAAAGTTTGAAGTCTCAACCTGATCAAAATGGTGCTTTTGTCTTCATGATCTCTACAAGAGCTGGTGGAGTTGGCTTGAATCTTGTGGCTGCTGATACTGTGAGTTTTGGCAAACAGTTGTGTACTGCTCTTAAAACAATCACTTATGTTTAGACCTGAAACTCAGGACCTGTAGGTTCTATTGTTATATCGTTGGATCAGATCTTTACATTTTTTAGAGTACAAGAAAGTTCATAATCATTTTAAAATCTCTTTGTATCTGTCAAATTATATATCAAATGTTTTTAACCACAGGTTAAAAACTTTTTAGTTCTCTTGAGACATTTACAGTTGAGATTGACATGTAATAAATAGTGTACTATTGAATCCTGAAAGTGCAAACTTTAAATGGCCTTCAAACCCTGTTGAAGTGTTGATGCTCAATAGTCAGAAACGTGAATTACTGCAAGTTCACGTAACTCAAGAAACCTTTGAATCACTAGCAAGAAACCTTGGGGTTGACGAGTGACGTTCTTATCTCCAGCATATTACTTTAAGAATGTGTACCCTGCTCTTGGTGAGAATGACAGAGTAATTTGGGGAGGTTTGTAGTCTGTTGAGGAACTTATGGTAGTCTATGTTGTAAAAGTCCCAGTAAATTGGTTTCTGTAAAGCACATCATAGTACTGACGTACTTTTATTCTATTCTTATTATGTTAGGCATATGAGGAACTTATAGTAGTCTATGTTGTAAAAGTCCCAGTAAATGGGTTTCTGTAAAGCACATCATAGTACTGACGTACTTTTATTCTATTCTTATTATATTAGGCATATACTTTTCCCTGACATTCTTATGTTCAATTTGCATACGCTAGGTTATATTCTATGAGCAAGATTGGAATCCCCAGGTTGACAAACAAGCTCTTCAGCGGGCTCACAGGATTGGTCAAATGAATGATGTACTGTCAATAAACCTAGTTACAGGACGTACGGTGGAGGAGGTGAGATCCTATACTTTTTTTTTTCTTTTCTTTCGATTGAAGAGTTCCTATACATGACTCATGAGACATTGAACCCCATTATATGTATTGTATTCAAATGTGTCAATATAGGTTATCATGCGGAGAGCGGAGAGGAAGTTGCGGCTTAGCCATAATGTTATTGGAGATGATGTTATGGACCAGGAACGTAAAGAAGAAGCAGGAGTTGAACCTAGTGACTTGCGATCCATCATATTTGGGTTACATCTCTTCGATCCTGATGAAATCAACAATGATGAGTTTGGGATGTCAGAACTGAATGCTATGGCTGAGAAGGTAATCTCAGTGCGCGATAAACAGATAGCAATTGAGGATGAGAGGAAATTTGAGGTCAATCCAACAGATGTTTTGCATGGACATGATCTTGTTGCAGGAGAAAGTAACACTTCTCTTAGTTTCAATTCTGGTTTTGATGAAGCTTCATATCTCTCTTGGGTTGAAAAATTCAAGGACGTATCACAAGAAAGTGGAAATGAAAATACGGATTTGAGAAGCAGAAGAAACTTTCTCGAGGAAAAGCGTCTAAAACGTGAGGCTGCAAAGAAGAAGGCAGAGGAGGAGAAGCTATCTAAGTGGGAAGACCTTGGGTACCATTCATTGTCTGTCGAGGACCCTGTCAGCCCTGTGGATAGTGACATGATGTCTGATTCAGGTTCTGTCCAGTTTGTTTATGGGGACTGTACACAACCATCAAAAGTTTGTCCATCTGAACCTACCATTATTTTCAGGTAAATTTAATTTTTCTAAATGCCTCCTCTTGAGTGTTCACATTATTTTGCATTGAATGAGTCAGAACAGTTAATGTGTCTTCTTGTGTTCCTGCTATTTCGTTCTTGATACAGTAACTTTTTGTTTGTTCATGCTTCTTAAAGCTCGAATATTCTTTTTCCTTCCATTATTATTTTATAGAAACATATTCTTTCAGAGTATGAGCATGATGTAGGCTGTCAGTGGTTTTACCACCAGACCTTACTTAATATGTTTATTTCGCAGCTGTGTTGATGATTCTGGACACTGGGGTCATGGAGGAATGTTTGATGCACTGGCCAAGCTATCTTCAAGTATCCCCTATGCATATCTGCAAGCTTCAGAATTTGATGACCTGCATCTTGGTGATCTTCACCTTATAAGAGTTAATGGTTAGCCTCTGGTCTCTCCTCCTGAAATATTATCTCCATTACCTTGTTGCTTATAAGACAAAGGAATCTCTTCTACTCAGAAGCACGAGTAGGAGAGAAATTTGATTATATCAGTTACAACACAGCAATATTTTTCTTTTTTCATGTTCTGTCCGAAGTTATAATGAGAAGAGTACAAGTAGCTTTTAGCTGCAATATGCACTATGCAGGAATTTGTTTATCATGTCGGCCAGAAGTATGTTTTACATTTGAACTTTCTGCATTACCTATTTGTTACTATGTAGAGGATGCGAATGAACAGAAGATGGACTGTAATCCCCCTCAATGGGTGGCTTTGGCTGTTGTACAATCTTATAATCCCAGGCGTAAAGTACCCCGAAGCAAGCTTTCTATTCCCGACTTAGAAAGATGCTTATCGAAGGCATCATTTTCAGCTGCTCAGAATTCTGGTAAACATTATAATTGAATCAGTTCAAAGCTGACTATGCTATTCTTGCCTTGTTATTTCACCCCATGGTACATTTGAAATGCAAAAGTATAGTTCTTTTCTTGTTAAGGACGTCAAGATTTCATTGGCTAACTTCGAGTCAGACATGTCGGATTTTTACTTTTTAAAAATGTCTCATGTCGCATTCTTCTCTCTTGATTTTAACAGCTTCAATCCACATGTCACGCATTGGGTATCAAGATGGATCAGATCGTGCAGAATGGTACACAGTCGAACGTCTTCTACGAAAATATGCTTCTCTGTACAGCATAAAGATATATGTGTATGTTTTCTTTCTCTTCCTTCTCCCATCTTCTGCCAACACACACACCGATGCACATCAAACTAATTTCTTGAAATCTTTGCAGGTATTATTATAAGCGGTCTGCTTGACGCTTTGGACTGCTCTCATGCTGGACGTGGTCCTTGTCTCCCAGGCCTGTGGCTGATAGAGTTAGATTAACAAAATGTGCCTCTACGACCTTTCCTGACTTGTAAATAGGCTCAACATCCATTATAAGATATCCTTCTCTTAAAGTACCTATGTTGTTGACCTTTCTCTTGTTTGATAATGTTGTAGGTGTGTAAGAAGTAGAAACATGACAAAGGGGAAATTTCGAAAATTCATGTATGTTAAGATTTGAATAAAGATAAAAGAAGAAAACAAATGAATTCCAAATGACTCATTTTATTCCGAATGCGATACAATTAGTTATTTTAAATACATTCAAACTAGTCTTTTTTTTTTTTTTTATAACAAATTTTAGACATGCTCGTATATCCAAATCATTTCTTTAAAATCCGTTCATCGATTCATTTGGATGAGGGAAAATAACTCAGAATTTAACTAAAAGTCGGGAATTTAAGAGAAGAAATTGACAATTCTCTTGTTTGGCAGTTTTAGTACGGAATTTATTAAATGACATGTAGAAAAAATTGTAGAAATTGGGGCATCAAATTCCTGAGTTTAATTTTCACCAAAATAGGTGTCATTTCACAATTTCCATAATGTCATTACAAAATGTTGTCGTTTACAAAATTCGAGATACATAAATCCAAACACTGAAATTTTCAATTTTCAGAAATTGAAATGATAGAAATCTAAATTTCACAATTTTAGAATTCTATGTAATTATCAATTTCTTCGTCCAAACGAAGGGTAAAATTTTTGGAAATCATTTTACAAATGTTCGAAGCCCCAAGTTACCTCACCTCTCCACCCTTGGCTGTGAAAAGTTAGATGCCTGCCGCACCAATCCACCGGCCAACGTTTACCAGCAGAAAATAGAAACAGAAATAGATGATTTGCGCCTTTTGGCACCCTTCTGTAAGAAGAAAAGCTTCGGACGAAACCACAAATTAATTCATGGCCGCGAATCCCATTTCTCAGGGTCAAGGACTAGCAGTCTTCAGAAAGCAACTCTTCAGTCCCAGCCTCAAGTCCAATTCTCAGCCTGCTTCTTTTCTCAGGTGTGCCTCTTCAATTTGATTTCCTTTCCTACATTTTCTCACTAGGCAAACACAAATTTTACTTTTTTTTACATTGCTTGTTTTTGAACAATCGTCAAAACCCAGGTGCTATTCTTCTCAGAAAACCGAGAACCATAATGAGAATGATGAACAACAGCACAGAGCTAAACAACCCAAATCGTCAACCCCAAAAACCAAAACGGCTAAGGATATGGCCAGGCTTGTCAACACCAATCCATGGTCGAGTGAGCTTGAGTCTTCTCTCTCTACAATCTCTTCCTCTCTCTCCAAGACCACGGTGCACCAAGCACTCCACCTTATCAAAACCCCGCACAAAGCCCTTCAGTTCTTTAAGTGGGTAGAGGTAATGGGTTTCTCTCACAATGACCAATCCTACTTCTTGATGCTTGAAATCTTGGGTCGAGCCCGAAATCTCAATGCAGCACGAAATTTATTGTTTTCAATTGAAAAAAAGTCTAATGGTGCAGTTAAACTTGAGGACCGCTTCTTTAATAGCTTAATAAGGAACTATGGTCGAGCTGGGCTGTTCCAAGAGTCTATAAAGCTTTTTACTACAATGAAGTCGCTTGGTGTATCGCCTTCTGTTGTTTCATTCAATAGTCTTCTGTCAATTTTGCTTAAAAAGGGTAGGACAAATATGGCCAAGAATGTATATGATGAAATGCTCAGTATGTATGGAGTGACACCAGATACATATACATTTAACATTTTGATTAGAGGGTTTTGTATGAACTCCATGGTAGATGAAGGTTATCGCTTTTTCAAAGATATGTCGGGTTTTAGATGCGACCCGGATGTCATTACCTATAATACTCTTGTTGATGGGCTATGTAGAGCAGGGAAGGTTGAAATTGCCCATAATGTGGTGAAGGGTATGAGTAAGAGAAGTGGGGATTTGACTCCAAATGTTGTTACTTATACGACCTTGATTAGAGGGTATTGTGTGAAACAGGAGATTGACAAGGCTTTATGTATTTTGGAGGAGATAACTACTCGAGGGTTAAAACCAAATGGATTTACCTACAATACTCTAATTAAGGGGCTTTGTGAAGCGCAGAAGCTAGATAAGATAAAAGAGATTTTGGAAGGAACAATGATTGGTGGAGAATTTATTCCAGATACATGTACGTTCAACACATTGATGCATTCACATTGCAATGCAGGAAACTTGGATGAAGCATTGAAGGTTTTTGCAAAGATGTCAGAGTTAAAGGTTCCACCAGATTCAGCTACATACAGTGTTTTGATACGCAGTTTATGTCAACGAGGGGATTACCCTAGAGCAGAGGAGTTGTTTGATGAGTTATCAAAGAAAGAAATTTTGTTAAGGGATGATGGTTGTAAGCCTCTTGTTGCCTCTTATAACCCTATCTTTGGGTATTTATCTAGTAATGGGAAAACTCAGAAGGCCGAGGAAGTGTTTAGGCAGCTAATGAGAAGAGGAACACAAGACCCTCTGTCCTACAAGACTTTGATCATGGGCAATTGTAAGGAAGGTACATATGAAGCTGGGTATGAACTCTTAGTCTGGATGCTTAGAAGGGATTTTGTGCCTGATGAAGAGATTTATGTATCCTTGATTGATGGCCTCTTGCAGAAGGGTAAGCCCCTTCTTGCCCAACAGACTTTAGAGAAGATGCTAAAGAGCTCTCATCTCCCACAAACATCTACTTTCCATTCTTTACTTGCAGAACTTTTGAAACAGCATTGTGCCCGTGAATCTGCCAGTTTTGTCACTTTAATGTTGGAGAAAAAAATTAGACAAAACATTAATCTCTCAACACATCTTGTAAGGCTACTTTTTAGTCGTGGGTTGCGAGATAAAGCATTTGAGATTGTAGCGATGCTCTATGAGAATGGGTACTCAATTAAAATGGAAGAACTGGTTTGTTTCCTTTGCCAAAGTAGAAAGCTTTTAGAGGCATGTGAAATGTTGCAATTCAGTCTGCAGAAGCATCAAAGTGTCGTTATTGATAATTTTAACCAAGTTATTGTAGGGCTTTGTGATATAAATAAACTTTCAGAAGCATTTGGCTTGTACTATGAACTGGTTGAAAATAAAGGCTATCAGCAATTGCCCTGCTTAGATTCTCTAAAATCTGCCCTAGAGGTTGCAGGAAGATCAGTTGAAGCTGAGTTTCTATCTAAAAGGATTCCAAGACAGCAGCTGCTGGACAACCCTAAATCTGGGAAGTCAAGACTACAACTGTAAGTCAAGTCCTCAGCTGCTGTACATATCTTTCTTGCTGCTAAATGGTGGGTTTTTAAGATTTCCTCAATCACATCTCAGACTTGTAAATACACAGTTGTTGCTGCCCTCCTCGTACCACTTCTCAGCTTTTATTCGATCCCTCGTCTCAATTTCACCCTGACCCCACATCTCAACCATTGGAGCATATACAGTCCATCTGCAGTCCAAAGCTCATTTGAAACCAAACTCATACATACCCATTGCAAACTACAAGAACAACAAAATCAATAACCACTGATTGCGAAGTGCAGTGCAACACAAAATGGATGATATATTGGCAAGGGAATTGTGGAGTGAAATCATAGAGAGAGAGAGAGAGAGAGAGAGAGAGCGAGAGAGAGAGAGAGAGGGTGAATCATGACAACCTGAGGTGGTGGATTCGCAATTTGCGGAGTGGCAATAAAGTTGTGATGCACAGAGAGAGAGAGAGAGAGAGAGAGAGAGAGAGAGATGCAATGGGAGAGTTAAGTGTGATTGTTTGAGAGAGTTTTGAAAATGGATTGGGTTCTTGATCAGAAATATTTTGAGAGGAGATGATATCGGGCTTTTGGAATAGAAATTCAAGGGTGATTTTGAAAGGGAAGGAGGGTATCATGTAGAGACAGAAAGCAACAAAAAGTTTAGGGTTGAACCCCAACTTGAGTCAAGTTTTGAAGGTATTTTGGTCCAAGGTTATCTTATCAATTTAGGAAAAATATTTTGATGGACTTTTATATGGGTTGATTATTGAACAGAAGAAAGCTATAAGCACCACAAAGAAGAGAATATGATCTGTGCCTTTCTGCAGAAGTAGATGGTATGATTTTCTACCACCTGGTTTTGGTTATTAAGCAGGGAGCTGTTGTACTACATTTGTTTTCCATTCCTTTTGTGAATCAGATTTATGAACTTCTGTAACAGGAAGAATGGTGGATCTTATTTACTTAGTTGGTTCCGTTGAAACGGTCTCTTGGGTTGGTTTATGAAATTTTCTTTCATCTTTTTTGTTACAGATGATTGAAGAGAATGTAGCTTTGCAGCAAGCTTTTCTCTTGGTTCCTTTTTCTTTTTTAAGTGGTAAAGCTCTAACTAGAATGTACCCAATCCTGAACAGACAACCGAAGCCTGGATGGAAAGCAAATGACAAAAAGCTCCAAATGGCTTGAATAATGTGATGTGGTTGAAGGAGAAAAAAGGACAATTCAGCTGAAAAAATGAAAAGGGGATATAATCAATTTGATCATTTAAGAGGGTTTTTTTTTCCTGGTTGACAACCAACAGGAAAACAGAAGTGTCATCACTTAAGGTGTAAAGAGTGTAAATTCCTCACTTTTTAAAGATTTCAGAATGAGAGGATTTAGAAATGATACTTTTTACAAGAAGTGGTTTTGAAAATTATCAGACAAACTTGGGACTATTATCAGTTGCTAATTAGGAAATAATTTACAAAATTAATCTACAAATTCTGAACTATCGATTTTCATTTTCAGTGAACTGAAATCTTTTCTTACAAAATTAAAATGGTTTTGAAGGGTATTCACAGTTAGATCAGACAGATCTACTAAACCTGCAAAAATGGGCTGGCTTACTTGGAGAATTCATAAGTTAGCTAAAGGGCAATTTTAACATGGAAGAAGTAGGAAATTCTGCTACCTATTCTCAATCTGTTTTGTTCTCTCTCTCCTTTTTTCTTTTTTTGGTTTCTTTTTTGTTTTCTGGTAGTACCAGTTCTAGAGATCTTCCTCCTTTCTTTTGCAGTGGACTATTCTAACCCTTTTTCTACAATTCATACTTTTGAAGCAGAAAGTAAGTAACCATTGGGTTTCAACTTTTCATTCATTGTTTTACCAAACAAAAGGAGAAGATTGTTTCCCCTTGAAACAGTCACACTCCTAACTCCCCCAAGAAACCCATACAATCACCAAACCATAATAAAGTAGGCATCTCTTTCTTTTCATGCTCATCTCCTTTGAAACCAACTCCTCTCCAACACCAAGCCCAGTTCCCCCATATATACATGCCTTCAACTTACACCAAACTCAGACTATTTCATTGCTAAGCCTTCTACTCCTCCTCATCATCATCATCATCCTAAAGATGTCAAAGCTCGAAAGCAATGGCGCTAATGGTTCTTCCAAGCAATTCCATGCACCAAGTAGGCACGCTCCTACACCAGGGAAGGCAACAGTCCTTGCATTGGGCAAGGCCTTCCCAAGCCAACTGATCCCTCAGGACTGCTTGGTGGAGGGCTACATTCGTGACACCAAATGTGTAGATGTTGCCATTAAGGAGAAATTGGAACGCCTGTGTAAGCAAAATTATTTGCGTTTTATTATCTTGAATCTCTTAGAACTCATCTATTTACTTGCTGGCTGCCCTCTAAATTAACTTTTTGCAAAACTATTCGTATCCTATTTACTGATTTCATTGGCAACTGCCAACTACGTAAATGAGTTTCACTTCTACTAGAGATGTGGTCAATAAATATACTCCACAATAAGTAAATATGATACAGATTATGTGATCAGCTAGCTAATGTAATTCCTTTTTAATGTGGTACGTTTAACATTACGCGATATTTTGAAAGGGGCAAGACTCACCATGCTTATCTCTCTTCATTTTTGTTTTTGTTTTTCTTAGGCAAAACCACAACTGTGAAGACTAGATACACAGTCATGTCCAAGGAGATCCTGGACAAATACCCTGAACTAGCAACTGAGGGCTCAGCCACCATCAGACAAAGGCTTGAAATTGCAAACCCTGCAGTGGTACAGATGGCCTTGGAAGCTAGCCTTTCTTGCATCAAGGAATGGGGTAGGCCAGTTGAAGACATCACTCACATTGTCTATGTATCCTCAAGTGAAATCAGACTACCTGGTGGTGACCTCTACCTTGCCAGCAAGCTTGGCCTGAGGAACGACGTTGGCCGCGTTATGCTCTACTTCCTAGGCTGCTATGGTGGTGTCACCGGCCTCCGGGTTGCAAAAGACATAGCTGAAAACAACCCGGGAAGCCGGGTCTTGCTAACCACTTCTGAGACCACAATTCTTGGTTTCAGGCCACCAAACAAGGCACGCCCTTATGACCTTGTTGGGGCTGCGCTTTTCGGTGATGGAGCTGCAGCTGTGATCGTTGGAAGCAAACCAAAACCAGGCCAAGAGACTCCTTTCATGGAGCTCAACTATGCTGTCCAGCAGTTCCTCCCTGACACACACAATGTGATTGATGGGAGGCTCTCGGAGGAAGGCATTAACTTCAAGCTTGGAAGGGACCTGCCTCAGAAGATTGACGAAAACATCGAGGAGTTTTGCAAGAAGCTGATGGCCAAGGCTTCATTGAAGGACTTCAACGAGTTGTTCTGGGCTGTTCATCCAGGAGGACCTGCCATTCTTAACAAGCTAGAGAGCACCCTCAAGCTGGGCAGTGATAAGCTAGAGTGCAGCAGGAGGGCTCTGATGGACTATGGAAATGTTAGCAGCAACACCATTTTCTATGTCATGGAGAATATGAGGGAGGAGTTGAAGAAGAAGAAGGAGGAGGAGAGGGAAGAATGGGGGCTTGCCTTAGCTTTTGGCCCTGGAATTACATTTGAAGGAATCCTCATGCGCAGCCTGTAGGAGGATCAATTGTTACCATGCTACATTGCATTTAAGATTCTAAGTTAATTTGGTCATTTTAATTTTTAATGAAATGGAATGGAGAAAAAGGATATGTAGCCAAAATCAAATTGGCCTTCACATGTAGCTTGTGGTCTGTGACATGAAATTTATGAATTCCACTGCAATTTATTGCTAATCATTTATCAACGAAACCATTTCTTTTCGGTTATAAGGGATTGGGAAGGATCAAACTCTTAACCTATTCTGATTCTAGCACATTTTTTTCTTCATCATTTTTCGCTACTTAGTCTAATTTATAAACATTTCTAATTTTTAGAAAAAACATTTGAAGCATAGTGGAATAAATATAGTAAAAATCAACTCATTTTCTAGCGGCCAGATTTTCATTACTAAAAGTCTAAAAATTTAATTGTTCTTCACCCTTTAATTTCCAAAATAGCATATTTCAATAAAAATTTTACAAAAACCAACATTTTTTGTGGACTTAATGTTTTAATTTTGGAGGATTCCCCCTCCCCTCTCTTGTCTTCAGGAATTAGAATATCAACATTGATGGTGTGTTTACTAATCAGGAATTGGAATTCGAATAATGAATTGAATTCCAATTATGAAAGATTTTTGTGTTTACTTCACATGAAGAAATTAAAAAGTAAGTAGGACCCACACAGAATTAGGAATTGGAGGAATTCAATTCTTGGGTTGGAGGTGATATTCTAATTCTGGAAGAACTAACCTTTTAGGAATTCATTTTTTTTACCCATTATATCCTCACACATTTTTAAAATTTCCAATTTTGTCATCTACTTTAACCCAACAACGAAGACATTTTAGTAATTAGCACAACTTCTACCATATAGTTTAATAAACAACTTCAATAGGAATCCGGATCCTAACTCTCCTCAATCCAAATGGTTTAGTAAACAACCTCAATAAGAATTTGGAATCTAATTCTCCTCAATCTAACTCCTACTAAATTCAATTCCTCCTAATTCGTATCAAATTAGTAAACATGCCATAATTTAATTTATTTTTGAACTTGTACTTTTCACTTAATATCACAAGCCTCTCCACCCCTCGAGAGGCCTTTTTTTAAAATAAAAAAAAAATCAAATTTATTTTAGAATTAAAAAAGATAATGGGTAGTTGTGTTTCATAAAAATATGATTCATTATCTGATTTTTCTTTTCATTTTAATTTTTTAATATGAAAAAATGTGAATTTACTATATTATCCTCATTTAATTAATAATTTTAATTCTTAATGTTTGCATTAACCAATAACATTTTATGATATTTTGAATGTTTACCTCTTTTGCTTTATATATATATATTAGATTCTAACAAAACCAACCACTGGACGCAAATCTCCAAAGTAGCGGTGCCGCGAAAACTCCGGAAGTCAAAGAAAACGACGTAGTTTTTTTTTTCGTGCCACGTTCTTTTGCTTTGCCGTTAAGGTATTCTCTCCCTCTCTCTCTGTGCTTCTGTTGAAGAAGAAAACTTGATGATTTGAATCTTCCAAAACCCTAATTCCACTTCAATGGTGATTCTTTCTATTCGTCCACGCTTCATTTGATTCTCAATCGCAGTATTAATCCAGGTAAATTAATTTCACCGCGATCTCTAACATTTTCTGTATTCTCTAATGTTTGGTTTTTTTTAGGCGCCTGAATTTGCATTGAAAGCTAACGTATTATTATGTTTTTGTCTTTCATTTGGCAGAAACTGATGTCTATAATGCAAGATGCAAAGCCCAATTCCAACGAATCCGCACCGTTGATGGTACCCATCATTCTCTTGTAGCATTCAAATTGTTTATTTTTACAGTGATTTAATTAACATTTTCGCCGAAAGAATTACATTTTGAAACCTTAGCTCATGTTTATTTGTGCAATGGAAGGAGAATGATAATTATATTACAAAAGTTTTGATCTTCCTGAGATTTTGATAAACTACTTTACTGTAGTTTTACGAGAATATAGTATTATTTCGAAGCACCAATACTAGCTTCTAGCAAGCATTGTTATTGGACTTTAGGGTACCAGTTGCTGATTGTGTCTAATCTCTATCCTTATGTATGAAGAAATGACAAAATTAGACGATGCAACCAGTGGGTTTGTGGCCTGAATCTGATTGTGTTTTCACTTCGAATTTTTTTATAAAAAAAAATTATGAATCTCTTCATGGAATTGGCAATATCAAGCTTTGGTGATGTCCTTGCTCATTTTTAACAGCTCCTGTTTTTTCAGGCTCAGAATGATACTTTAAGAAATGATGGGGTCATCCCTCAGCTATTTACCTCTGTACCATCTCTGAACGAAGCTGCTTCTTATCTTTCTCAGACAACTT